GTTGAGGTATATAATTACACTTTAATTCACATTATTAACATCGTAGTTTAAAGAATTCTATAATGATTTTTGACCAACATTATTTGAACATTTTCTGGGTTTTCTACATTTTTATAAAGATATTTTATGTCACTTCTTTAATTTCCAGATAAGAGAGCAATTTGGATATAATAGAGGAGGTGGAGATGGAAGTATAATATACGTCAGAAGTGATATGATGTAAAATAATTATAGAGTGTTGGAATAATCCACCATTAACAGTTATTTGTATAGTTTAGGTGGTACTGAGTCGCCTATTTGCAGGATAAGCTTTTTTTTTGCTACCTATGCATCTCATTTTTACCTTTACGTCTGATGTCCTCTAAAGATTTGAATTTTTTTTTTTTGTATTCTTCTCTTCTTTAGTCGTCATGTTTCAAACGACTTGCGGGACCTGACAACGTTGCTTATCCACAGTGTCGAGGCTGTTTTGATGGCACTTTTAATTGGATTTCTATATTATGGACAAGGTGGAAGTCCACTTTCCATACAAGACACAGTTGCACTGTTGTTCATGAAAGGCTCACTCACACCCTTTGCTGTTGTCCTGGATGTAGTTGCAAAATGTGAGTACTTTAATTGAGCAGTTGGTACTATTATGCCAACAAGTGAATTTCTTCTTATAAAAGGACATTTTTATTTATAAAAACTGGGAGGTTAGAGATGCTGAACATTGCAAGGAACCATACTCCATTTGTTAGCCCCCATTCACACAAGCGTTTCAATAGTCGACACTCAGATTTTCATGTTATTCTATTGTACCCGTCCACATCTGCACAATATACTGTTGCTCAATGCTCAGAAAAAGCACAGGAGCTTCTTTGGGACATTTTTGTTTTTTGTCTTCAAGATAATTTAATGGGAATGCATGAAAAATTCTGTTTTTGTCAAAAGTGTTTTTGACTGGTAACAGCTCAAGTTTTCCTTTCTGCATAAAAAAAAAATAAGCCCAATGTCTGTCTATCTTATTACTTTCCATATTTTGTGATAGCTATGCCTAGGAATTTTGTTCATGATGTAGTTATGGGCCTCAGTGCAAAGTCTGGACCTGTGCCCCCCTTCAATTTCCTGTTCCTTCTTCCTCAGTTCTTTTCCTCTTACTTGGCCCATCTTCATGCTGCTCCATCATTGCCCCCCAAAACTTGCTTTTAGTACAGAGCTGTACTGGTCATACAACAGTTGAAAAACATTCCTTCACAGGAAAAACGAGCTTCTTTTTCATGCATCCTCTGCATTTGATTATATGATCTATGATTGAGAAGAAACGGGTTGATGGGAGGTGCCTCAGACAAAATCCTAGACATTCAAAAGAAACAAAGCACTGTACCAATGGCTAAGAGCCTGAATCTTTTTATTTCATTGAAAAAATATTCAAAACAAGCCAAAGAATTTGGGGATTCTAAAGAATCCTCTTTATTAGTGCTACAAGAATGCATATCATGTATGCATACAATTGAT